GGGGATCACATGCCTTGAAGAGCTTGAAGAAAACAAGGGAAGAGATGCTGAGAGAGCCTGGGTTTTATATCCTCTCTTGAGCCCCGCCTTGGAGCTTCCTGTTCCTGTGTAAGAAATGTATTCTGATTGGTGGTCAGACTCCCAGGGGGTGGGGGTCTTAGCTAGCTTTGTAGGCTGTCTGTCTTTTGAGTCCCAAGCTTGGTTGAGCTGTTGCTGGGTGATGTTGTAATGAAAGGGCTTTGGGATTCCTATTATGGCTCTGCCTAAAGGAGATAGAACTTTGTTATGTAGAATAGAATGGCCCAGGCCTCAATGGCCCATTGACAAAGGTGGAGAGGGGAGGATGAGTTTCTGCTTCCCATTTAGGGGGAATATTCTGTCCTTTTCATATTTCCTAAAATATTTCATTTTTCTAGGAGAGGGGCAGACATGAAATGCTTTAATCTTCGCTACCAATTCAGCACCGTGCCCGCTTCGCTCGCGCACGGTGATTCTGCACATGCACAGAACCTTCTGCATATGCACAGAGCATCCACGATGACATCTAGGCGGGTGGGCAGAGCCTCCCGCCGCCGCCACTACTGGTTCATCCAAACTGAGGCAAACCGGCAGAATAGCACCTCTGGGAAGGGATGGGTGTGAGCTTCCTACAGTTGGTTGTTCAGTTGCTAAGTTGTGTCTGATCTCTTGTGTCCGATCTCATGGACCACAGCACACCAGGCTGGCCTGTCCTCTGCTGTCCCCCCCCCTCAAGTTTGCCCAAATTCACGTTCATTGTGTCGATGACACTATCTAACCATTGTCTTCATCCTCTTCTTCTCCTTTTGCCTACCGTCTTTCCCAACATCAGGGTCCTCTCTTCTCATTTGGTGGCCAAAGAATTTGAGTTTCAGCTTCAGGATTTGTCCTTCCGAAGAACAAATCTTGATTGATTCCCTTTACGATTTCTTCAATGTTAGTCTGGAGTCAATACAGAATTTTGGAAATTATAACTCTCCCTTCCATACCATTGTCCCAGTCTTGCGTCTGACTCAGTGGTGGGTTCTTGATCCCATTGCAACCGGTACTGGTACGGTTGCAACAGGGCCTGGCATCTTCCACATGAATGAGTGCAGCGCGCCCATGCATCTTACCTTCCGGCGACGCCTCCGCGACACTCCAGCTGCTCGGCGGAGCATCGCTCAGGCGCTGTATGCGCCCTGCACGTGTGCGGAAGCGCTGAAGGCTTTAAAGGACAGGTAAGGAGCGTGGGTGGGGCCTCCGGAACACCGTACTGGAACAGGACCTGGTGCTCCGGGTTAGGCTTTGGTACGCCCGTACCGGGGCGTACCGCCTGCAACCCACCACTGTTCTGACTCTTCACATTTTGCTGATGTGCAATCTGCGTCAGTTTCCTTTTCTTCCTCCTTTCCTTAGACGTGACTTGTACAAGTTTTAAGGCTCTCCAGAGTGACCGTCCTTTTAATCCTCAAACATTTTTTCCCCTTCGTTTCGGCAAGTTGGCCTCTTGCCTCTCGTTATTCTAAACGGCTAGAAACATCGCCTGAAATTAACACCGAGAGGGAGGAAGGGCAAAACAAGCGAGTCAACAAATGCGTGTTGCGTTTTTGTTATCCTGATTATTTTTTTTACCTCAATAAGCTCTTGGTGTGTGGTGGGGGGACGTATTCGTCAGGAGGGGTGTTTGGCAGAGGCTTGGTTTGGTTTGGCAAAACTCTGCCCACAACCTGGAGTTCGATCCTGGCACGGCTCAAGGTTGACTCAGCCTTCCCATCCTTCGGAGGTCGGTAAAATGAGGCCCCCGATTATTGGGGGTCAATATCTGACATTGCAAACCATCCAGAGAGTCCTGGTGAAAACTCTGGGGTGTATATAAGTCTATGCTATTGCTATTAGTTTGAGGAATAGAATAGAATAGATTGGAATTGGAATTATAGGAATAGGAATAGGAATAGGAATAGGAATAGAATAACAGAGTTGGAAGGGACCTTGTCAGGAAATTTCTCCTTAGTTCTAGGTTGCTTCCAGAAGTGGGTTCCTACTGATTCAATCCGGTTCAGCCAAACTGGTAGTATTATGCCAGCCTGGCTTGCAAACTGGCTGGCCATGCCCCTGAACTGATTTCCCAGTCACTGCTGTTGCTGCCACCATCTTTATTTGGAGTTCTGCACATGTGCAGAACAATTTCCATTGAACTGGAAAGCACCTCTGGCTGCTTCTCTCCTTGATTAGTTTCCACCCATTGCTTCTTGTCCTGCCCTCAGGTGCTTTGGAGAATAGCTTGACTCCCTCTTCTTCGTGGCAGCCCATAAATCTTCTATGCGGAATTTCAGAACAAAAAACAGTGAAGTTGACCACGAGATACTTACTCATTTTGTTAGGCTTTGAACTTCTGATTCAAGAAGAGGACTCAAATTCTCATCTCCCAGGGACTTCCTCGCTCTTGCTATTTTCGCTAGTGACCTTGAGGTGACAGGAACATATGGGCTTTATTGAGCAACTAATTAAAAGACCATCAACA